AGTGGGAGAGGGAGAAGCAGGCTTCCCGCCAAGCAGGGAGCCCGATGCGGGGCTCGATCCCAGGACCCTGGAATCATGACCTGAGCTGAAGGCAGTCGCTTAACCAACTGAGCCATCCAGGTGCCCCTACACCATAAGCTCTTAAAAGCAAATGTTTAAGGTGAATCCCTGAAAAAGAAACAGGTAGAACAAATGGTGACCAAAAATGTTCCTTAGAGAATGCAATTCCTTGCAAATTGCTTATAAATTAAGAGAGGACAGTTGATAAACACCAGAAAAAAAAAATGTGTCCAAATACGACTTTGATGACAAATATGACTTCTCTATTTCCTTATGCTACCATCTTAATGGTGGGAAATTTAGTTTATTATGCACCCGTAAAACACAAAGGCACCTGGCAGGTGACTCGCTTTTCCTCAGCCACTTAGCCATTAAATTCTTGCATATCTATAATATTAATACCTTTATGAATCCATCTTCTCCTCAGCGTTATCAATACACCCTCATTAGCCAGGACTCTGCAAGGGTGATTAGTTAGCCTCCCTGTCTTCAGCCTCACGCTTCCTTCTCTGGCCACATTGTTGCTAGTACTCTTCCTACAAGCAAACTGACTCATGTTACCTCCCTGCTTAGAATCCTCCAACAATTCCTCAGGACTTTCAGGAGAAAGCTGCACTTGCACCCACAGTGGACGAAGATGCACAGTTCCTAGAGACCAAATGTGTACCCCACAAACAGAACTAGCCCAGGGTCACTGTAAAGGGTTTTCATGTGAAAAGATGGTCAAAAAGGGAAAAGGACTCCGACACAGAGATGGACAACTGGATACCAGGACCAGGGGGTGGGGTCCGAGGGGCCAGTCCAAGGAGAAGCACCCACCGCCCATGCCCCATGCCCAGAGAACTGAAGAGGGAGGGCCTGAGCTGGAAGAAGCATCCCCAAAAGAACCAGTCAGCTTTGGCTATCTGCCTCACTCTGAGGCCACCCCCACCAAACTCCCATTCCAAATGGTGCCAGTCCAATGAGTAAATGATTCCCCACTCCCACTCTGAAATGATTCTCACATATAATGGGTACAATTTTTCTTCACATAAACCCTTCTGGATTGCAACCCCACTGTCACCTAGACTTCAGCCAACAGAACAAGATTTTCCTTGCCCAGACTGACAATGGTTGCTTGAGCCTGTGTGGGATGAGGAGAAGAAAGAGTTAATCAGTGTTCTTGTGCCCAGGTGGCTAATGCCACCTCCAATTCTCCTTCCCTGTGGTGCCGAGCTGTCACAGACCTCAAAGCACCCTTTACGCAGTAAGGAGGCAGTAATAACCAGCTGCCACCTGCAACAGGTACCTCTTTCTTCCCCCTCTTAAATCAAAGATCTTTAATTGCCAACACTGAAATTTAAAACCAGAAAGATAAACCCAAATGTCAAATGCAAAGTATCCTCTTCTTGCAGATCCATTTTCTCCCCCTTTAGGTCCCTTCCAATGTCATGCTTCACTCTAAAGTAGCAAATTTGCAAGGATGTAATGAACTACTGAAGGAGGGAAGATAATTCAGGATCATGGTCAAGTATGGTCTGCTAGCCATTGACGTAACTGGTCTAAAAATCCAAACACTTCCTCTGGTTCATGACGGGCAAATGAGGAAAGTCCATATATTTTCATTTCTGCCCACGGCAAGGGTACAAGTAACCTACAAACGTTCCTAACATTTTGTATTCATAAATAAAATTGTGAAATTGCTGACATTTTAGGATTTATTGAGGATCCCCATCCAGCAGTCTAAGAAACCTTGCTCTCATGTAGAGCTACACATAAAAGGTTACTGAAACACCTACGCTGTGGGGGAGGACAGGATATTTTGTGTTAAAGGAACGTCATTAATATTGTTTCCAGTTGGTCTTGGTTGTCAATTCTTGATTTTAAATTGACAAATAAATTGATAAATGATGAAGATAAACCTACAGTTATTTACAGTAGCCATCATTTGCATTATTATTGGTTATTTAGTGAACCCCACAGTATACAACGATGGATATTTTTACTAAAAACATTTCTAGTCTATTATTATCTTATAGTTGGTTCTATGGTTTAAGAAATATATGCATTGCGATATAAATACAAGCCATCTTTACTCCTCTGCTAAAGTAGATATCTACAAAATGCCCTGCAACTACCTTGCAACAGAACAACCCTTCACTAATGATGTCCTGAATTTGTGCTGCAGAATTTGTGCCATTTTAATAGCTTGCTTTGTATTATCAAGTTACTATAAAAATACTGGATTATTTTTTTAATTTTTCAGAATTTTAACATACAATCATAAGTCTGAGTTCATTCTTATTAGGTTAAGAATGCAATACACACAGTTAAGAAAAACAGAAACACAGACATTAATGCCCTCATCTCTCCGTCCACAAATCTACCTGTATCATATTCTGCATCCATCAACCAGTGTTTTCTGCTTGCCTCCTGTTGTAGCGGTTGAAATGTTTTTGTTTTTGTTTTTTTAAAGATTTTATTTATTTATTTGACAGAGAGAGACACAGCGAGAGAGGGAACACAAGCAGGGGGAGTGGGAGAGGGAGAAGCAGGCTTCCCG